AGGAGCTTAGATAGGAGAGAGACAGAGCTAAAGAAGCAGAGAACGCGAGTTCATCGTCATTACACATTTAGTCTTCTGCTGAAGTTGGCGAGTATACGGAGCTTAAGTAGAGTATCTCCCTTATACTGCATCGCGACGGAGGTCTTCGTCTCGAGTCAAGTCCTTGCTCGGATGGAAAGTTAGTTAGACGTAAGTTTGCGAGACGTCGGAAGCCAGCGGGGCGATAGCGTTTGCCAAAAGCCATCACTGAAGCCGGTAGCAATTTGATAGATAACCCAGCCTTTTGGGCGATCGAGGAGATCGAGATTGTATTCGACTGACAAGTGCTCAGGTTCTCGCGGGTTTGTTTGTTTCCAGCCTCCCCAAACGAAGCATCACGAAGCTCTTCTCACGGACTCTCTTTGCGAGAATATCTGCCAAGCATCAAGAAGCATTCTGGTGCCCACAAGCACCCGTAAGTCTAGACCCCGCCCCCGGACAACTGGAGTACTCCGTCTTGGGTCGGGCCAATTCCGTTTCCTCCATAATGAGCTATAATGAGCAAGGCTGATATAGGGTGCCCCGTTGTATTATGGAAGGTGCCGACATGTTGGAACCAGACCCCCCGAGGGTGTGGCGGGTGTGGGATCGACTGGGCTGACTTCTCAATTAGGGAACCAGTGACAACGGGGAGAGAGCCATTCGCCCAGTCTTTCTCCTCCCAAGTGAGTTCCCGGTGGTCCATCCTATCGAACCTAATTGTCCGAGTGTTCCGCTGCTGTGGGACCAATTGGGGCCAGAGCTTCGCGTCGGCAGGGCCAAATGAATCAGTGCAGAGAGAGGGGTTGATTCTCCTTTTAGAGTTTTCAGCTGATGTGCCTAGTCCCCAACGCCGCGACAGCGGTACCGCCCACCTGTGGCACACAGTGATCTCGCTCGAACGTGTGGAGGAGGAGGCGGCCAACAAGCTGCTACCTATTGTTGAGTCCGGCGGGCAAGTTTCAGATCAAAATCGACCAGTCAGAGCTCTCATCGCGGATCCCAGTAAGGCACAAGGTAAACCACCACCCTGTCACTTGATCGGGTTATAAGGCGTGTCCGGGTAAAGTTGAAAAAAACATAACATGCTCGTCGTACCTGATTACGTATAATTGGAGAGGACATTGAAACGAGCACAAATACCCGATAATCGAGATTTACTAGCGATAATCGGCCATCCGCGCTGCTCAGGCCCCATGATCCCTCGCATTCTGCAACCGGAAGCACCTGTCAACTGGACTGGATGAAGCGGCTGAAGCCATAACCGCCCACTGTCGGGGCTGATGAGGCTCAACCAAGGGATTCCCCTTAATCGGGGTGCGAGTGATTTTGTGGATGTTTTGCTATACCCAAGGATCTCGGCTCCCAAGCTCCAGCTTTTTCGAACTTGGCTTTTCCGTCAAAGGTCTTGTCTTTGACTCGGCTCCGGCTTGGCACATTGGCGTCGTGGCCCGCGGGTCCTTCTTCTGGTGAATTAGACTTTTGACAGCAGAGTGCAGTGGGCTTTTGCCCAAGAGCACAATCCCTACATGAATCCCCGTTCTTCTTGTGGCATCATTGTAGCCCATGTCTGTAGCTGCTGCTCGTCCTCAAACTCAATTGCCATGGGGGATGATGACCAACGCCACTAATTCTAGAACCGTCGTTGTTTCCCTCGTCAAATTAAGGTCTTGGTAGAACTTTTGTCGGACTCTGAGGTAACCGTGCCATGGTTCGCACGCACCTTCTAATTGCGATAGCTTGATGGCCATTATTGGGTGATTCAATAGCTAAAGATGAACATTTTTGGGGTTTCAGATTTTCCAATATTCCTCGCAAGCTGCTCTTCGCCAGTTCGTCGCTGAACTTGTGCCGAGGTGCGTCACCGTGATTCGGGCTCATCCAGCCGGACAGCTCCGTCTGGAACCCCCAAAGAGTTTCACACAGCGCTACCAACTTGAAAGTCAGTATTAGATCTCGATCAGCTTCCTCTCGTTCTCTCAAGCAACTCTAAATCAGCAGTATTTGACACCTGAAAGGCTCCTATCGCAAAGCGACAAATGCATCACCTTTGACGCGGAATTGAGGATCCCCTCGTGTTTCCACTCATCCCAGAGTAACCTTGGACTAGCATATCTCTCGTCACCTTAGTGTACAATCACGATGCACCTAGGTGCTATGGAAGTGGGGGCTCTGGAGCCCCGGGCAGTAGTGTGCCACAAGTCCGCAGGCCGCGGCCCTGCGAGCACGCCCCCAGAAGATCTACGAAATAAGGGTCACTCAAAGTCCCCAAGTAGGGGTTCAAGACAATGATTGCGGGCGTGAGAAGGGCAGTGCTACATGGGGAAAGTCCCCTTGTATTGAAGTGCCGTCACGCTCTTATCCGGTCTATTTCCATATCCTGGTTGAATATCTTTTAGACGATGGCACTGACTGTTGATCTCCGTTCGTACCCGGATGGACAGTAGCGATAGTTGTGGAACCGTCTGGTTGTTGCGCCCTGGAAACCAGCGTTTGTGACCGGCGGCAGATAAAGGTTGGTGATTTTCTTGGGCTGATGTTTTCTGTCTTGGCGATGGAGTGAACCGGTGCACCGGGTTCGCTGACGAGCCCATGCCTGGGTAATTATTGGCAAGTGCGTCTTCCCCGTGCCGACAGTTTTAACACGCCTACGTAAGACCTCACGACTTAGCCGCTGCAGCCAGTGGTTGTTTTAGTCTGTGAAGATCATGAGTTTCACAGCAGTACCTGGCAAAGCATCCTCCTCGGCTTATTGAGCACCACCAAGCTTCCGACAACGTTAATAGCTTCCAGGGCTCTCATCCTCGGAGATGCTCAGGCTCTAGGTAGGAAGAAAGAGAGGGGAAAGCAGAGAAAGGCCCGCAAGGCGTGCTCAGAGAAATCCGGAGTATTCCTCCGAGTCCATCGCTCGAGTCACGGATAAGTGGGTTCGTATCAATCTCGCATCCGTATCCCTGTCTCTCCAGAGCTACCTCGTCAACGCAAACCTGCAGGAGTCGTCTAAGCGATCCAAAGATAACGGGACCCAGAAGACAAAACCATTTCCGAAATACGCCTCAATATTCCACGAGAGTCTCGCAACTAAGTTGCTTCTGCTCAATTTGCTTGAGATGTCGTCCAGATCCCGAATTCCTGTTCGCGTCCCACCGGCTGCAAGGGCCCGACAAAAGTATGATCGGCAGTCAAGCAATGGCATGACACGTGTCGCAGCCAGTGAACAGTGATGAGATGAAATGAGTTTTGCCGCTGTCAGTTATTCTGCCAACGTATACCATTACCTCGGGCCTGCGGTAAGTCGTGACCATCCAATACGTCGAACGAATTAAGCCTAATTACCTTATGATATACCAGAAAATACCATTTGTCATTTCTGTACGGGGTAATATATGGCAAGCTTTTCGCCGTACGTGACATTGGACGAAGCCTGGCATATGACGCTAACGTAACCGTAGCACCATTTCAACTCTAAGCGCGGGGATACTTGCTAGTTTAAAAATGTTCTGCATGTGGTAAAATAATTGCGAACTTCCAGTATTCCAAACCCCGTCTACGTTTCAATCACCTGCACCGTGAGTTATCAGCCAAGGCTTCGGTGCACATAGAGGATCAAGCTTGTGTACTTCACGTGGGCGGCCCGTGTCCGGTGGGATACGCTGTCCCGAAAGCGAAGTATTGGCCATAATAGGTAACTGGCGTTTTTTCCTCAACCAGGTGATCATAGCTGGAGCCGAAAAAGGCCCGTACATACGGAATTCAAGAAGCTTAAACCACTGCCGGAGCCGCGTTCCCGCTCCACGGGCTTCACAAGCCACCGAAAGCCACCGACGGGAAACTAGTTCGGGGTTTTCTAGCTCACCTTATTGTTAGTGCTTTATTGTCAATATCGGAAGCTTTGAAGGCGATCTCGATCGCCCACTTTATGATTGTATTCAGCGGTTTCGAACAGCTAGGGTATCCGTTGCTCCCCTCCGGTCTCAGTGCTAAGTGATGGTTCGCTTTGCAACTCTGGGTTGAACTAGTTTCAACAACTATCATCAGTCTCTCAAGTTCAACCACAATATCTAATGGGCTTTACCACACTAGTTTCGGTGGCTCTATTGAAAGGTGCCAACGCTAATTGCTGTGACGAAGAGCCAGCGCTGCAGTTGCAGCGGGTGATCATAATACTAATAAGGATGACGGGCGGATACATTGCCCCAAAAACACCATAACTTAATAGACTTTGTCAATAGCGAGTAATTCAAGCGGGGCAGAGGCGAGGTTTGCCTTCCCCGTCCTATGCCTTCACAACCGTCTTAGCCGGCAACGGTATTGTGCCATTGGTCAGCTATATCGGAGTAAAAGTGGAACCCGCAGGTTGTCAAACTCACCCGAGTCAGCGCACCGCGAAAACCGGCAAGTGGAGACAACAGGAACAGCCCGGGACCGAAAACGCTTTCCCCGGCCACCGGCGATTCAACAGTTGAGGTGGAGAACACGATAAGCCCCCCCGCCAAATTTTGCAACCCACGGAGACATTTTGGAGTCCGCGGGCAAGGGTCGCGGGGATCTGTCACATCCTTCGAGAAAACACCATCGCCAACCTACCCACCCGTGAGGGGGTTCTAACATTGTTCTTTCGTGAAAAGGCTCTTTGTCTGTCAAGGTTTCCCCAGTCGCTGTCACAATGCCGGCGGCAAAAATGGCGGCATTGTTCCCTGTCCCTCTCTATGTGAGAGCAAGCATCGTCGCATCATGCGTTGCCATGCTGTTTGGGTATGTCCAACAAAGCTCATGCGCCCGTCGGCGCGGGGGTCTGTCTCTTCTGCTTTGCTTTGCTCTTCTCTACGTACACCTTGCCATGCTCTTCATAGCAGTAGCTCGCTTTCGTCTTTCGTCATAGTGTTTAGACCCAGATCCCGGACGAACCGCCCTCGTAGCTGACATGCATGCTAATCAATCTATCAAGCCTCGATACAGGAAGCATTGGACCCGTTACGACCATGCCGTCCTTCCGTCACACCTTTGGCGACTTCTCCCCCACAATGCACGGCGTAATCGTCTCGTCCGTCCTCATCCCTGGCGCCCTGTCAGCTCTGGTATCCGGCGCCATGGCAGACCGTTTTGGGCACGTCCTCCTCTTCTCCCTGGGCGCCTTCGTCTACGGCTGCGGCGCTGGGATTGAGTGCGCTTCGCCTGTCCTAGGCGTCTTCATCTTGGGTCGGCTCATCAAGGGCGTCGGCGAGGGTATGTTTCTGAGCAACGTATACGTTCAAGTCTCGGAAATCTCGCCTGCCCGGGTCCGGGGTATCATCACTGCTCTGCCGCAGTTTTCCATCGTCACTGGTATTGTCATCGGCTACTTCATGTGCTATGGCACCGCCCGTTTCGAGGTATCATCCCTGGCATGGCGCCTGCCGCTGGCTGTAGCTTCATTTCTGGGATTTGCTCTCTCGAGCACGTACTGGATCGTCCCGCCGTCACCCAGATGGCTTCTCGGAAAAGGACGAATTGAAGAAGCCCGAGGCGTGCTGGACCGTCTTGGCCTGGACCAAAGCGAGCGTGAGGAACTGCTGGAGCAATCCCTGGCCCAGGCACAAGAGCAGAAACCCGATGTTACACTCCTGGAAACCTTACGACAGCTGTTCACCGACTTCAGAGAAGCCTTTTCGGCACCCTTCCGGAGCAGGACCATCTTTGGCTGTTTCTTGCTCGGAATGCAGCAGTGGAGCGGTATTGATGGTATTCTCTACTATGCCCCCATTCTTTTCACTCAAGCTGGACTGAGTGGCGAAGAGGCCACATTCCTCGCATCCGGCGTCTCAGCTCTGGTGATTCTGGCAGCTACTATACCTGCAACATTCTTAGCAGACAGATGGGGACGCCGGACGTCAAGTCTGCTCGGTGGCGTTCTCATCACCGCTTTGATGCTACTAATGGGCTCGCTATTTGCAGCCGGTGAGGTCCACGCCGAGACGGGTGCCGGGAAGTGGGTGGTCATCGTATCCATCTACCTCTTCGCCATCGTATACAGCGTCACTTGGGCTATTGGCTTTCGCACCTTCATGGTGGAAAGCCTGCCATCTAGGACTCGCAGTAGTGCCTCCAGCCTGGCACAGAGCTCGAACTGGGTATGTTTGTGTTTCGGTGGCTCTTTCCCCTTGTAGTCCATGTAAGCCCGAATTATACTGACATGCAATATCACAGCTTGCAAACTATGTCGTTGCGCTAATTACTCCGGTATTACTGTCAAAGTCAACTTTTGGAGCTTACTTTCTCTTCGCCGGATGCTCCTTTGTTTGCACAGTCTTGGTAGCCCTTGTGATGGTCGAGACCCGAGGGCACAGCCTTGAGGCTATCGAGAAGAGATACACCGAGAAAAAAGCCTTGGCTACCGGCAGATGGAAAATGGAAGGTCTCAGGCCAAGACGTGTCAGAACCGCGGTGTAATATTGTGCGGCTTACTGGACAGACTTTGTCCGACTTTCTACCAAAGATCTTCGGGATGACGATGCGCTAATGGCGCTTTCATGTCGTCAGGCACCGGAGTTGATTATGCCCTGATACTTGGAAAGGAATGATATGGATGAGTTGACGTATTTAGATGCATCGTGGACATGATATCAGACTCACGATGTGAGGCTCGAATGACTCTACTAGACACATACAGGCTGGGATAGACACAGGCTGGGATAGACACAGGCTGGGATAGACACAGGCTGGGATAGACACAGGCTGGGATAGACACAAACTAGAATAGACCTCATACAGCATAGAGATAATCGCAGCCTTGGGCACGTTATTCAGACATCCATTGTATGAGAACAGATGAGATAAAATAGACGGACTACGTGCAGTCACATTCTCTACCCTGACATCTGTGCATCCGTCCAAGACGGATCGGCACATACAATAAAAGGCTTGTTATTTTCCTTTGGACTTGGCATTTGTCACCGTCTTATAAAATGAATCCGTGCTGCCGGCTATCCGGAGAGATATGACGCGTCAGTACAAGCTAACAACGGTCGAGGAAGTAAAATTCATTAAGCTACCGTAAGGTCCAATTTTATACACGAAGTTGGGCTAGCAGCACGTAAAGATGATGACCGAATATTGCTCCAAACATTTTGCGGTACCACCCGAGGTACTTCTCCAAGTGCCCGGCGGACGACTTCCTATTCAAACATTCGTAAATGTTCATTCCATTGGCGAGTACCGTTTTAGCCTTTTGCCTAGTTCTATCCAGCACACTCTAAGGGGCTAAATCCGGTTTCATTTCGGCGATGGCGAGCAGATCATTCGTAACCTTAAAAAAGACATCACGTCAATTCAACGGACGGAAATAAGCTTGCTGTGACTGTACCGCTGCTCACTCTTGTATTCCTAAGGCTTGATCATACCTGATCTTTTTGCAATCATTGCTTCGTTTGTCTCGTCAAAATTTACATACGCTCTTAGTACGATCCGGTCACTCCTAGACCGCTTCTTCGGACTCCATCTGCACCATGCGACTCACGAGAGATGTATACTCGTAGCCATATCCCGCGTTTGTGCCCTTGGCTTACTAGCCTCGAACAAGAGCATCGTCCCACAAACTTCCCACCTAACATCCTCAAACACCTTCATCAACGGTCCGACAAAGCCCTCCACGTCGTCCTCGGTATTCCCAAAAACACCCAGTAAGTTGTGCCAAAACATGAGATGCTTCCCCATCAGATTATGCTTAACTCCCCGTCCCAAGATCGTCATCCCGAATATCGTGCCGCCCGGCGCCAGCAGATGCCGCAAGCGCGTCAGAGCCTCGGCCTTGTTCGACGGCGGACCAGGCACGCAATGCAGCAGCATCATGACGGAAATCGCGTCAAAGTCTCCCCCGCCGAGGTCTTTGCAACACAGTCCCTTTCCTAGTGGATCCAGAAAGTCGGCGACAGAGGTCTCGCAGCTCGTCTCGGGATGCGCATCTAGCGTTCGTTCTCTAGCTGCTTCCAGGGCTGCGGGGTTGAGGTCGGCGAGGTAGACCTCGGACCCGGCTGGTATGGGTGCATGCTTGAGAAAGTATCCCGTGCCGACGCCGATGTCTAGTATCCGGCAGGGCGAAAAGGCGTTGGTGTCCGATGTTCTGCGGAGGCTGGACGGCTGCGAACGGGCCGAGGCGCTGGAGACGTGCCGGTTGAAGAACTCCCGCATGCGTCTTGAAGTGATACGCCATGCTTTCGGGCAGTAGAAGCCGAGGACGACCGGGTCGTAGATGTAGCGGAGGAGTATGGGCATGTAGACTGCGGCACCGGCCGCCGTGTTCGGCTTTGCTGTTGCTGCCATGCTTGCAAACTTTTCAATATCTAAGGATTGAAGAGAGCATGGTGAGTCCGGTGGTGTTATCGTGCTGGCGGTCATCGTGGTCTAATATCTCCTGCGCCTTCCCTTGTGTGTGTGAGACAGGCCAAGGCTCTAGTTCAGGAATGGAAACTTGGCGACCCTTTTTGTGTTGAGGGCTGAAAAGAATTAGTTGCGTGGTGCTAGTCGGCTTTCGTGCCTTTCGTACGTATGGGGGAAAGCAAGCGGCGTTATGCGGACTTGTGATTCAGTGGCTCGACTCGTTCCCAAACTCCCGGGACACCCTTGGATCATTATATCCGCCCTCGAAGTCGTCAGCATGGCGACCACATGCTCTGACATATCTGACATGCATGCTTGCGGGGTGATGTGACAGGTTGTGTGGCAACGACTCATATTCAACCCAAGACGAGAAAACGGGACAGTCGTATCTCCTGGCCCGTCTATTTACTCCATTCGCCGGCAACTGCCCCTGTTGCGGTTGATGTCGCGAGACCAACAGACCATCCGCGGTCGGGGCGTCTCCGCGATAGCCACGGATCAATACCCCCGAGTTGCGACGGGTGCGTCATCCGTGCTCCGGGACCATCCGCGATGCCACAAGCTTCGCATCGAACCGCCGAGGGTTCTCGGAACCCTATGCGATTCGTCAGTTTCGAGGCACGGGGAGCTGCGATGAAGAGAGGTTCGCAAGGGCCGAGAGATGGGATGACTTTTCGACTCGTGCCGAAACACACCGTGTATGGCCCCAACGCTCCCTCTCCGTCTGAGCATTTCAGGCCTTCGGCCGCTCCATTTCTTTCCTCCGAAGGTTGTCAGCGTGGACTAGAAGTATCTTCGGACCACGCCCCGATGACATGCAGCAGGTCTAATGGCAGGTCAGTGTTCAGTTCTTTTTCAGCGTTCGGGGAGAATTTCTCTCTTGTCAGATCGGTTGAGCCGCGAATGTAAAAGCTTGGCTTTGCGAACTAGGCCATCTACGGACTGAGAACCGAAAGACCAGGAGTTCGAGCACCTTAACTATATTTACTGTGGCTGTTCGCCATCTGTTCTTGACCTGGGCGCCAATCGGATTGACAGAAGAGAATGCGAGAGAAGAACAGACTCGTAGGTTTCCACGATCACATGGAATCGCCATAGTTCGGACGATTACTCAAAGCGCATATCGACCCTGCGATAGCCGCGCGTCCAACAGCGCATTGGGAGCGGCGATGAATATGACGCAGATTGAGATACGGTCAGAACTGAACTCGCAGATATCATTGCCGGGGGGCTCGAACTCAGTCTCGCCTTCGGTAAGGTACGTCGCGGTAGGAACATACAGGAAACAATGGCAGTCGCTATTAATATGTACAGTCCACCGGTTCCGAAAAATATTGATGCTTTTACTCATTTTCTCCGTGCCTTGAAAGTCTTCAGAGGATTGACTTTTCTCGTTCCCACCTTCTTGCCTTTGCCGGGCTTGGTCTTATTCCTCCTCTGCTTGCCACCAATCTTTCGGAACGGCACCATACCAATGTCATTCTTTGTGAGTGACTCCTTGCCTTCTTTCGGCAACAGGTATTCGGGAACGTGCCGCAGATGAGGCTGCTGTCTGGCTGTTCTCAACTCTCCGTCGTGTCTGAGGTGCTGCAACTCTGTCGGGTTCTCCTCAAAGTATCTATGATTGATTAGCAAGGTTCATGTCAAATCCCGGATTGGGCATGAGAAGCCTAGGCTGGACAAACATACCTCTTCAGCTTCTCGCTCTTGAGAATCTCCTGCTTCAGTTCTCTCATACGCGCCTCACGAACTGCAACCTTGGTCACTGCTCTCAGAGCGTCATCCAGACGATACCTGAATGCATCCAGATGCTCCTTCTTGAAGTTGTAAGGCTTCACCTCCTTGCCTAGCTTCGCTTGTTGCTTCTTGATCCTGGCCAGGATCTTCTCGTCGTTCTCTGCGGTTTCTATGCTCGTGGGGACGTGCTTGCGGTACAGCTCTTGAGGAACGTAGAATGACAGTGCCATGCCTGTCCGACCAGCGCGCGCTGTGCGGCCAATCCGATGTGTGTATGATGATGCTGATGTCGGCAAGTCGAAGTTGACCACGGCTGCCACATTCTTGAAGTCGATACCCCGGGAAACGCCAAACTCAGCGTCCCGCTTCGACTTGCGCTTCTTCTTGGAGTCCTTCTCCTTCTTCACCTCCGATCCGTCTCCTTCTTCGGCATCCTTCTCGTCGGCGCCCATTGCGCTCTTCTCGTCGGACGCAATGATGATTTCGTAGACTCCACGGTTGAACTCCTCCAGCACGTGCGCTCTCGATGTGACGGGCAACTCCGAGTTCAGAATACAGCTGCGGACCTGGAACTGCTCAAGGAACAGCTTCAAGCGATATGAACGGTCGACGTCGTTTACGAAGATGAGGCACTTGCCCTTGACAAGCTTCAGCTTAAAGATGATGAATGCCAAAAGGAACTTCTCATCCTCTCCACAACTGACAACGAATTGTGACAGATTGTCGTTCTCTGTCTCCTCCTCGTCAAGATCCAAGATGGTCGGCTTGCGTCCGAAAATTCCTCCAAGAGTAGTCACATCTGTAGACAACGTCGCGCTCATCAGCAAGAGCTGAACACCCTTGGGAAGCTTTCGGGCAATATTCTCGAGGTCTTCGTCGTAGCCGTATGACAGGATGAGGTCAGCTTCGTCGAGAACCAAGCACGTCAGATTATCGAGCGACAGCGCATCGGAGGTAATGTTGCGCCATGCGGTAGCGGGTGTAGAGACTACGACGTCGGGGAAGTTTGAAAGGAGGGAACGCTGAACCGCATCAGAGATCTTGTCGACGAGCTTGACTGCGTGTATGTCTTTTGCGCAGTATGCTGAAAACTGTTCGATCGCTTTGAGAACTTGGTCGGCAAGCTCACGGGTAGGAACGAGGATCAGGGCGGTGGTAGCAGGCGAAGGATCGGCCTAGAGTTTATGGCGGTTAGCAAGGTTCAGTTCTTCCATTGTCAAGACTGCTACGTACAGCTTTGCGCTTCAGGATGCTCGATAGCACAGGCAAAACGTATGCAGCCGTCTTTCCGGAACCTGTGGGCGCCTTCGCGGCGACATCTTTGCCGTCCAATGCCAATGGAATTGCTCTCTGTTGCACCGGGGTAGGGTCCTTGAAGCTCTCGGCAGCGACAGCCTGTACCAATCGAGTGTCGAGGCCTAGATCGGAGAATGAAAGTTCGGGTGTAGAGGTTTCCGTCTTTGCGCGCTTCTCGCTCTCGGGCGCGGTCGCAGTCTCGTCGGCCTTTCTCTTCATGGTGGATATTGTTGTGTTGCAAAAGTATGATGTTCAAAGGAACCTGCAGCAAAAGTCCGCGACGCAGGCAATCCTACCCAGATCAAAAAAAAAATCCAGATTGCGGCGGGGTGGGTCTTTGCTTATCTTATCAGGGCGCGTTAGCGTGGAAAAAAAAAGGCTTATGTAAGGCAGGCTTTTCTTGGTGCGGGTGCGTTCGTTTAGACTTCACCCATGCTGCAGCATCTCAGGGTTGTCACACTATCACCTCTGGACTTATTCCTATCTGAATTTGATATTCTCTGGCATCACCTGCTTCTCACTTTAACTCAATAATAGCGAGAGATTAAATGCGTTTGCGGTACTCCAAGATGTTAATGTATATGACTCCTCACAACCTCGCCGCCAGCCACTTAGTGGGTTGCCCTCAGTCCAAAGCAGCCCGATACAACTTGGCGTATTACCTGCATATTTAGGACATTCCCTGGTTCAATGTCCAATAAGATCCTTGCTATGCACCCATTCTAAAGTTCCACTGCCTGGCATGGTGTCAGCTGTTCATGGCCGGGATGCTGGACCACGCTCACTTCACAACTTCATGCTCCCTATGCCGTCTGTAAGGCAATCACATCAACGTCCCACGACTAAGATATCGGGAGGACGTACGCCGCAATCATGTCACTCTGCCAAATCTGTTCAACGCTCAACATTGAGCAGCTAGATGCCACAGACGTCCGGTTTCACCCTAGCCTGAAGGCCCTCCAGCAGAGTGCCGATGCGAAATGTCCCTTCTGCAACCTGTGCTACACCCGCGTCATGGATGACGTTCATCATAGCGTAACCGACGCCCTTCTCAACGATCAGATACCGTCAGGCTACGAAGAGGAGACGTTTGTTCCGAGCATCTGGCTCCATGGCGAGGTGAGGCAAGGCAACCGCGGTGTCGGTTACCAGCTCCCGGGATGTGCCATATGGATTTCGTGCGGAAGAATGCATCCTGATGTCGGTATGGAAGAGACCAATCGCCCCGGGATGCCATTTGCCTCTCGTCTATCTCTTTTCGCGTAAGACCTCCAAGTTTAAAGTTCTTCTGGTCCTTATTCTTGGGCCAGGACTTGGCACATTGCATGAAAATTGACTATCCGCAGAAGCCGTAAAACGCCAGCAGCGCGCAGATTCATCGAGCGATACATCATTGCGGACCATGATCCTAATCTCTACATAGACCTAGCAGGTTGGCGTTTGAGAAAGTGCAAAGACTCTCACAAGCTCTGTAAACCGAGGTCCTCGGAGATGCCAACTCGCGTCATTGACGTTGGTAGCATCGGCGAAAACCCGAGACTGATAGTCACGAGTGGCCTTAGAGAGCCATACATTGCTCTTTCCTATTGCTGGGGGCCCGGTAAAGACACGTTCATCCTAACACACAAGACCAAAGATGAGCTTCTGGATGGCGTCACAGAAGAGAAGCTTACCCAGACTCATCGAGAGTCCATTCGGTTCGCACGCACGCTCGGCATTGCGTATCTCTGGATCGATGCCCTTTGCATCGTACAGGGCGATGCCGATGACTGGGCTTTCGAATCGCAACGCATGGCACACGTCTATGGCAACGCGGCTTTGACCATAATTGCTGGTCGTTCGGATGACGCGCGTAACGGCTTTCTCGCAAATGGACTTGATCAAAAAGCCCCGCCTTGCACCTTGCCGCTTAGCCCAGACACCAAAGACACAATCGGCGTCTGTCTTCCGAGATCTACCCTCATCGGACCAGTGTCCACGCGCGGGTGGTGTTTTCAGGAAGAAAAGCTCTCAACGCGGGCTATCATATTCGGCCAGGAACAGACCATCTACCAATGCCGAGAGGAAAAGAACTGGGAAGACGGCCAAGTCGATTTCCAAGACCTCAAGCCCACTTTCCTCACTCCTGGTTTCTCCACGGGCGCCCCCCATTCCGCGGCTGATAAGGAGACCACCCTCTCAATGTGGTACGAGTTCGTCGACTCGTTCACAATGAGAGCTCTATCGAACCCGCATGACGTGTTTGCCGCCATCGCATCCATCGCGATTCTTGCGAAAGACGTGCTTAAGTCTCGCTATCTCGCGGGAATCTGGGAAGACGATCTGGTCAGAGGCTTGCTCTGGAAACCACGTAATCAAGTGCATGCGTTTTTCAACACCGCAGTGACGCGTCCGAAACCAACTCCATTTGCCCCAGCGCCGGTGATTCGCGCGCCGTCATGGTCATGGGCGTCTGTAGAAGGTCCGCTTCGTCGCATCTACAATCCGAGAAAATCGCAACTCTTCCAGGACAGCAACTACGTCAAGATAAAACCCAAGTTGGGAACCAAGTGGACAGCCGCAGAGGACTGTGATGTGACTGCCCTTCATATGCCATCTTGTACGCTGCAAATCTTGGGGCGCACGGCCAAGACAACCCTGATCAAGACGGGCGTTGTCGAGTGGTTTGAGGCAGATAAGACAAGGAAGCGTTGGCTACCTTACAAAAAGATGCTGCCCCACTCAGTCTTGCTCGTCTCGAATGTGGAGAATCCAGGTACGACAGGCAACGGAGACAACGTCGTTGCTGTAGGCTGCTTTGATGTGCCAGAGGAAGCAGCGCAGTTTGAAGAGGTATGGGGTCTTCCGTTGATAGACAAGGAAGGGTTGATGATTGTCCCGCACGAAGAGAAATGGAAGCGAGCCGGTTGGTTCTGTTTGAGAGACGATTCTTGGTTTGAGAAGAGTCCAGAAGTTGAGATAGATCTCGTCTGATATGGGATAGTCTAAGGCCAGCTATGCCGCGGCTGATATTTCACGGAAGGACTTGTCTCAAGCCGCAGCCGTACTGGCCCTCATGATCTCCTGTTGTCTTTTCTTTGCCTCTACCGAGGCCTTACGAGGGTTGTCTGCTTCGAACACTTCATCCAGCTCTTCCAATGTGAAACCCTTGGTCTCAACGAAGAAAAAGTACATGAATACCATTTCGAAACTGTCCCAGGCCACGAAGAAGACATAAAACCAGTACCCGATCTGTTCGGGATAAATCGCATCAGTACACCAGCACAGCATAGCCCGTCATGTCAGTATCCGGAAATGTACTCGCATTCGAGAGGGCAATAGGTCCAACAAAAGTGTTGAGGAATCCCGCCGCGCCAGCCGTAAGCTTGAAAGTCCCCATCGCCTTGGCACGCATCTTGTTGCTGACAACCTCGGCCGGGTAGATGGGCTGCATCGGCGTGAAGCCCGTGGCGAAGACGGCACCAAAGACGAAGATGAAGACGATGCTGACAGTGGACGCCGTCTTATTGCCGTAGTCTGTGTAGCCTGCCGCGCAGCCGGCGACAAGGGCTAGGCACACTGTCATACCTGCGGTGGTGGAAATGAGCATCTTGCGGCGGCCGACAACGTCATGGAGACGGGAGCCCGCGGTCGAGAAGACCCATCCAATGACGGAGTAGACGATGTTGAGTATCAGTTTCGTGTTCGTATCGGTGATGCCGACGCCCGCGAGCATGATGGGAAGATAGTACGAGACTAGCATGTGTCAGTTGCTTCAGGAGACCAAGAGTCTGTTTCATCAAAGCACTCACTGATGTTGTTTCCGCTGAACTGCCCAAACCAAGAAAACGCTACATTGAGCATAAGTCTGTACCTGCTAGACCGGCTCTCGAAGAGGATCCTCAAGTCGAAAAGATCTTTCCACGAAGGTACGTGGGCTGGATCAATCGAGTTGATCATTTCCTTCATCTGCAGGTCTACGAGAGGATGCTCGAGGTCCCCGTTGGTATGATAGGTTGCGATGATATGTTTTGCCTCGTCATGTCGGTCCTTGGCGACGAGCCTGTCGTAAGGTCAGTTAATTGAAGCTTCGAGTTCGTGGTTGAGGGACAACTGACCATCGAGGAGATTCGGGGAAGAACTTGATCAAGACGCACACAAGCCCAGGACACACCATCTGAAGCCAGAGCGGTATTCTCCAATCCAAGTCTCCGCGGTCACTTAGGTAGCGGTGGCACGCGTATACTGCCGATGTTGCCAAGATCGAGCCCTACGTGAAAGGGTAGCTGTTAGCACCAGCCTCAATACTTCGCGTCAAGTCTCAGCCTCTCATCCCGGCCTATGCTTTTAATTGTCGAATGATCACATACCACGTTGTAGAAGGTGTTGTAGAGGCCTGCGACAGTGCCACGATATCGAGCAGGTGCAATTTCGACCAGGTAAAGGGGCGCCGACGTGTGAGCGCAGGTAGCGAAGAAAGACAAGATGAAGCGCCCCCCTATGAACATGGGAAGGCTCGTTGATAGTGCCGTGATAATTGCCCCAATGCAGACACCTAAACAGCCGAAGAAGATGTGCCAGGTTCGACCGTACCAATCTGCCATCCAGATAAAGAGAGCGCCACACATTTGACCGACCTTGGCTCAAAATTAGCAACCTCGATCCGACAACCTCTGCTACCTTACCGTACCTGAAAGATGGCGAACACGATGCCGGTGCTCGCATTGCCCTTTGCAGGAAGCCCAAAGTACTCCGTGTAGTTGGGTAATGCGTTGATGGACCCTAAAAGAGCGCTGTCATATCCTAGGTACGTCTAGTCAGCCTCCAAAATTCACTACCAGAGTAGGACTTCTCTACCATTCATGGTCGAACAGAAGAACAATACTGTCGCAAGGAGATATAGCCTGATGTACCCGGGTCCTCGCGGGTCGGGTTTGTTTGTTGCCATGATCGTGGCATAGGTATCTGCGCCGGTGTCGGCATCGTCCAAGTGTTTGAGGACTGGGCCGTCCTTGGCGCTGTCCCCATTCATCGTGCAAGCAATCGGGATGTCTTTCCGTGAGGCTCGAAGGGCACTGGAACCTATCCCCCGAGTAATGCGAGACGTCACACTAGATCGTGGGGAACGATAACCCCAGGCTGTTCAGCCCACGGGATCCCAGTGGCGGAAGGGGGTAGAAGAAGAAAGTTGACGATCTTGAAAGAGAGATCTTACAACCAAACGTATCCAGCTGATCAAATGTCACAACATAGACTGCATATGGCACTGATTGTATCCGCAATCTGGCAATGACAGTGCCCCGGATTTTAACCAACCCCGGAAAGCATCGACGCTGGGTCCACGCGGGGATATAAATTGTCGGGAAACACTGGGTCTGTGGCACCATTCTCCTTGTTCCATGCCGTCCTAGGCAAGTGTGGCAAGGATCGCAATGGACAACATTCCAAAACAGCTCCCGGTATTAAGGAGAAGGCACTAGCTAGGCCTACTTATATACTTGTTATCCGGCATTTAGAGTACAGATTCAAACCTCGTGCTGTGTGCTAATACGATCAGTCTAAATCTGAAGTTGCGCACAGGCCTTCGCGATGGCCAACTCTGTCGCTGTTAGTCGCACGTTGTTGACACTCATTGCAGGCGCTGGACTCTTCTACATTTTCGAAAGTTTGTTGGAATGAGCGAATATTGGCAATGTCAAAGCCTAGTGCAACGTTCAATGAATTGCAACAGACAGGACGCTCATCAGTAGCCTCTGGCACTCATATTGACTCTACATATTGCCCAAAGTCAGTGTGTACATGACTTACTGCGAGCGCGAGTCGCTCATGGACCAACGATGTGATTGCCGAACTCTGATCAGGGTCTATTCACTTTCCCAGACTTAAGCTAATCGGACAGTCCCTTCACTAAGTCAGAGTTTGCAATGTCTTTCTGAATGATGTCGTAGAGGAATATATTGAAGCCCCTGTTGTTCAACGCCCCATTAATATGTCTCACCATGTGGATCGCACCTTGTAAGTGCTGCTATGTCGAAGCAACATCACCTACCAAGATCTGTCAGTTGTCAAAGTTTAGTTGAATGAATCCGAAAGCCTCATGAAAAAGCGTAGTTGTAAAGACTCACCTCATCTTATGCCATGAAAACGGCTGCTGTGATGATCGAATCACTAATCGGTGACCGCATCTTCAGACATGAAATAGCATCCATTAGCAGCCGCGCACAGGCGACTTTGTACTGTAAGACGAGCTTCGTATAGTGCGGTTTCTGTTGCGGCAAACAATGCGACAAATGCCGGCTAATTACGAGGAAGAGACCATTTAAAGCGCTGCTGCTGGTTGCGGCCAGCTGAACGAATTGATGGTTGAGACTCCTTGTGCAGCCATCCGGAAAACCACTCCGGATTGGCTCGTGATTTGAACATGGCACGACGTTGTGCACGTCTTTGGAGCAAATGTTAATTATATAGTGGCTGAATTTCGATCATTTATTGGCAAGGTTCAAGTAAAGGACTCGGAAGGTTCAAAGTCACCTAATATGGATTCCCGGTTCTCACTCACAATAGTCTAGAAGGAAGTCTTCAACCAGACTAAGACGCCTCGCAAAGCTAGCAAAGGGGTATCTCCTGGCAGTCCCTTTGCTGACCGAGGTGATCTCGAACTCGTACAAGTCCCGAACCTCGGCGCCCAACATACCTTGGACCAGGCGATCAAAGGAACGTCGGCAATCGCTCAGACCGGCTCGATTCTTTCCTTCTCCGACAGTTCCAGGATGCAATACCTCCAGTCGTCGACAGTATGGTCTCGATTCTCGAGGCCGCGGCTCGCGAGCTGTCCGTCAAGTCGATTGTCTAGAATAGCTCTACTGCCGCCGCCGTTGACCTAAGTCACGGGCTTACCGCACATGCAGGGCCGGACGCCTGGAATGGCCACGTAGTCAAGACTGCCTGAGCTCCGCCTCCGCCTCCGCACGCCCCTGATCACTGGCACATAGTCTACCAAGCCAGCAAGGTCGAGGCCGAGAAGGCCTTGTGGGCCTTTGTAAATAAGAATAAGCCTCACTATACCGTCAACGTCGTCAGTCCGGCGACTGTCTTGGGCGAGGCTCTTTGCCAGAGACACGTAGTGTATCATACCCGTGGGTGAAGAACCTTTATAATGAAAACGAAGAGGTTGGAGCCCTGTTTCAGGCCAGTAAGTCCTCCCTCAATACACACTTGTCCTTTACAGTGACTGATAGCAATGTGCAAACACGGTCATCCATATTGACGTGAAGGATGCTGCTTTGCTCCATGTTGCCGCGGTTTGAATCCCGATTGCAACGGAGCACGACTACAAGCCTGGGGTGAATACTGCAACATAAATGACATTCTTGCCATCTTGCGGAGGCTTCGCTTAGAGAGAAAGTTTATGAACGACTTCCCAAACCAGACCAACAGATTGAATTGCTCCACAGGTGGGGGGGCCGGGGCGGATGGACTCCGCTCAAGAAAAGTGTCATGGAGGAGATGGAAGGGGTTCTCAAGTGGTTTCCCTAAGTCTCGGACTGATCATTACCTAATGCCAACGATTGAGTAATTAGATGAGGCAAATTCGCAGACTCAAGCTCTCAGAGTACTCATGTATGGTTGAAATCCGAAGCTGGATTTTCAATTGTAACCTGGATTCGCTTACAGCCAACATCTCAATCATAACCACATAAGTAAGTTATCTACGTGCTCTTGATCTCTTTTAGAAACGCAGTAAACTCGCAACTTCCCTGAGTTGTCTAACAGTCCCCCACCACGACCTCTGCCCACCTTAGTTTCGAAACACTACAATGCCATAGAAAGCTTCGCCTTATGAAAATCGTGTTGCGTTGTCTGTGGACCAAAGCTTGCAGTGGGTATGGAACAGCCCGCGTGACCTCCAAAAAATGATGAGATCTTCATTTTGTCTAGCAACTAAAGAAAGACCCATCCAGTCGCAATGTTGATTGGGGTTCCCGAATCGCATG